GTTCCAGTTACCTCAAAGTTTTCTACATTGTACAAATACAGAATTACACTACCTAGTTCCAGTTACCTCAAATTCCTGGGTAACTGGAATCTACTGACAAAAAAAATCCCTTGAAGCTCATAAAAACATTTTTGTTTTTAAGCCGTTATTGCAGTTAATTTACAAAGGTCTAAATTGCATACCCATAGAATCTTGACCAATTTTCTTTGCAGCTTCGTCTCGTACATAGTTGCAAATTTAAGTATTGTAAAATTAAGTTCCAGTTAACCAACTTGACCTTATTTATTATTCATTGATTTTTAACAAGAATCACAAAAACCTATTTCACAAAATAATACTTTTCTTTTGCTTCTTTCACTTGTTATCAGATTTGTGAATTGTAATTTCCTATTATTGGAATTTCAAAAAATTTACGATATTTTAGCGTACTACGAAATTATATTTAGAAAGAGTAGGTATATATAATAAATGTGACGACAACCATATGACAATGATTAGCTCCCAAAACTTATTAAGTCCAACATCTGAAATAAATGCACGAGTAATCGCTTTAAAATGCTAAAAATCAACAACTCTAAAATTAGACAAAATCATAGTCTACCAAACTTCTATTATGATTAAAAAATTTGCCATTTCAATTGTTGAAATTTTATTTAATACCAATTATAGATATAAATACACTATATTTATTTTTTGTAAAATAATAATTAGGGTTTTCGCGTCGACTAAACGACTTCAAATATGACTAATACGTATAACTGGCATGGCCAACTTTGCAAATTTGATTTTAGTCGTTTTAATGTATACCTGTCAAGTTTTTAAATTTTGATATTTCGGTCACTCCCGAATATTCTAAGAAAATTATCATTCGACTTAGAAAGTTCAAAATATTCCGGAAATAATTTAAGCACTGGTGATTATTTTTCGGTGTGTGACTCCCATCCTTTCAAGCAAAACTGAACAAGTCCAAACTGTTTCTTTGTATATCTCAAAATATTGTAATATACGAGCGTTAATTATTGATAATTAACGTTAAATTATCTTTGTTAATAAATTATATTTAATTTTGACTAGCTCTTAGATATTTTATACCAAACCGATCACTAAATCAAATGAGCATTTGAGACTGTAGTTTCTCAGTCGTGAATTCAGGCTTTTCTTATAGACACTTTTGGGAAAAAATTTTAAGGATATAAGGGCACCAATTACTCTCTTTTTTATTTTTAAAAAGCTAGTTGAGATTTATAGCTTTACCAAAAATACAAAATTAACTGAATAACTCAGAATTATATATAATTTTAGCAAAAAAATTTGTCGTAACCATTAAAAATAAGATTCAAAAAGAATATAAATAAATTTGTTTATTAGTTAATGTTGGAAATGTTTATCGACTTTTACAAAAAATATAACAAATAAAATTTAGATGGAACATCAAAAATTCACATAGCGATCTAATATGCTTTTAAAAACACTAAAAATTATCAGATAGATTTTACACATTGACTTGTACCATCGTATAAAGCAGGCCATTGATGCTCCACAATTTGACTCAACGAGTCAACTTCTAATGAAGACAAAATGGACCAGGAAACCTAGGTGTAGGAGTCAGGACACTGACGCTCCACAATTCGACTTAACTAGCCGATCTCTTATGAAGACAAAAGAGAACAAGATCCTTAGATACTTCGACAGCCAAATATTCGCTCTCTAAACAAAAATAAATTATTTTTTTACTACGAGGCCCTTACAAGAGATATTCAAACTTTTAAATATATATTAATAAAATTTCCAACAATTAAAAATTAATTAATACATTTACTTTTCCATAGTACAAAAAATTAATATTATTGAATAATTCGAAATTGATTTTTAAAAATTAAACTTTTAATTAAACAATAGGTAGAAATGTAAAGACTAATTATATTTTTTCAATCACATTAAGAAACTTCCGTTGTCGCAGTTTAAGGCACTGGCTTTCATAAATTAATGGTTGAGAAAGGATCTCAGACACACCGATTGCCAGATTTCCAAATAAATCCCCAACTACGCGAAACCTCTCTCTCTCTTAGCAATGCTGCGTGGACCGACAATCAGACTTTGGATCATTTTAACACAAATCAATCCATTTATACATGGTGTCACCCATTCAGAATATCATTTTTAAAAGCTGATTTTTAAAATGTTACAATCTGCGGACAATTTTTAAAAATGTTTTAGTATTTAAAACTCTAAATCTTCAAATTATTTTTATTAAAAGCAAAATTTTAATTAAATGGTAAGTAGCTGAAGGGAAAATATTACTTTTCTTACTTTTGAGTTATGCTGGATTTGCTCCTTAACTGACAGATAATGGTTTGTATCTGGTAATCCATGTACCACAGCATCATGCAAAATTATGGTATTGAAACTATTTAATAATAAAATTCAGTCAACTTGATTGGTTGAAATTGTTATATGATACTGTCCATAATCCAAAACAAATTATATGTTTTAAATAAAAATTTGCAAGCCAGTCTGACGGTTTTAATCCATCCTGATCCTAAATTCATCAATATATTTATTAGAACACTAGGCTTATAATGAGGTATTGTGTTTTAAGTTTGTTGGAATGCATAAAGTTAAACTGCGCATAAATTTGCCGTTTATGTACAGATTTGGACTCTTGTTGAGACAAATGTGTCATAACTTGATGTAATACAGAAGAAGTCTTTTTCTACAATATTTTTATTACAGCTCTTTACTCCACTGGAACTGGTTCCATTTTTAGGAAAATACACGACGTACAGTTGCAGTATTAGAAATCCTAAAAATTGCTTTCTAAATCATTTGACCAGAATTTTTTTGTTAGGAATTGTAAGCTTTTCCTGCAACAACTATTAGTAGATATGACTGCGCACATATCTGCTCGTGAAATAAGTTAATCTAATGTTTGTAGTTTATTTTTAAATTGCATGTACCGATATTTTGTTTATAAGTAATTATATATTGCATTTTAAGGAAATATTTTAGAAAGATGTTAAAAATTAGGCTGGGCGGGCTTAAGCTGTTGTTAAACGGTCGTATACTAAAATGCCGTTAATAGGCATGATGTCATTCAAATGATGCATTTGAAGTGTTTTGAGATTTATTAAAGAAGAAAATATACAACAAGAAGACGAAGCAATGACTTGTCGTACGGTGGCGGCGAAGCCGCCACCAGAAAATATCAACCCATATATTTTTTGTGATGGAGAAATCCTGAAGGACCCCAAGTGCCTTCTTTAATCGAGCCTGGGAGCGTGGGACTCCGGCTTTTGGATGCAATGGCGTTCTACCCACTAAAAGCCCTCATTTTTAATTCTAGTATCCTGGCATCATCTTCAAACACATTAATTTTGGATGTTGGGTCGTTTTAATTTTTCAGTTTTTATCTATTCCAATCGCGTTGATTGTTTGGCCCTTTCGTCCTCCTCTTTCATACTGAGTATATCTTTTGCTAGTTTGCTTTGTTTGAGACACCGTATCTATTAACAGCATTTTAGTACACGATCATTTAACGGCAGTTTAAATACATTCTAAAAATTAATGTAGTTTTGATATAGTTTTAATCAGTGCTTAAGTATATTTGGATTTGTTTTTCTTTTATTGGATTAAATGCACCGTTTATAAAAATCGCAAAATAACCAAAAGGTTAAAATATACCAAAAATGCTACAGCCGCATAACATTGTTAATGTATAAAGAAGTATGTTGGTAGATATAATAATGTATATGGTAGAACGAAGACAAACATACCAAATATGAGCATTTTTAAATGTTATAAGAACAAATTCTGCTGTTACTGTCTTCAAAATAGTATTTAGTTCTAAAACGGAAATGAAATCAAAATGAAAAAAATTAAATGCTTCCAACAAACTATAAAACTAAAACTAACAAACTAAAATAAATATTTTTAAACAGTTCGAAAAACAGTACTAAATTTGATTTAACGATTTAGCGAGATACATTTGGTGACATTTAAAATTAGGCCTGTCATTGAAAGTAACATTATTTTCCATGTTAGGTGTGCTACCTTTACCTTTAACTTTATTGTAATTCAATTATTTACTGGTCCAAGTTCTGACATTTTAGCTACCTACCCCTAGATTAAACTGGTTTTAAAAATTTCGTCACTCCTAATTAAATTACTGCAATTACTCCAGTACGGGGTGGGCAGAATAACGATCGATTTTAAAAACCCGGCAACCCGCGCAAATCGTTAGGAGGTATGTATTAGCATTTAGAAATGTGATTTCTCGAAATGGAGGCATCACCTGGCCTCCCCGTTCACCAGAGCTCACAATGTGCGTTTTTTTGTTGGGTTACGTGAAGAGTAAAGTGTTTCAAGATAACTCACCACAAACTTTTCAAGCCTTGAAACAACGGATCTGGCAAGAAGTGGATCAAATTCCCCTGGCAATACTGCTTAACTTAATAAATAATTTCAGATCACGATTGGAAAAATGTATGTCTAAACAGGCGTCATCTTCCCGGATATTTATTTGTAAAACTTGACATTCTTCTTTTTTTACAGACTTCTTAAAATCGCTCTCGTTATTTTGCCTTAACCTTTATAATAGAAACATAATATATATTGTAAATTTGTCAAATTGTAAAAAATTTAAATCTAACGGCTTACTCTAATTGGGTTGGGGATGGAGCATGAGGATCAGACCTCGTTTATCTAATCTGTTCGTATTTCGAAGAGAAAGTTCGTCTCACAACATTTACAAGAGTTGGGGACTGGGACTAAATTAATACGTCAAATTTACTTATAAACTTCGAAAGCGAAAGACGAAAAATCTTACCTGATGTTATCCTTTTAAACCGAGTTAGCTCGCGTGCCCAATTAAATTAGAAACATCCCATTACTTTTTCATTTCCATTGTAATTGATTCATAAGAAAGTTGTCGTCGTCGTAGCCGGGAAAGTTTTTTAATTTGTTCAGCCAACAGTCCAACTGATTATTTTCTTTTATTCCAGGTGACATCACACAAAAAGGATATGAGAAGAAGAGAACTCGACTACTCACTCCCTACATTCCTAAACACCAACCAAGTAAGTTTTCGCTCTTCTCTCAGAGGAAATTTTATGGCTGAGTTAAGCCGGTAAATTCCGGTGAAAAATTCTCCTTTATCTGGAAAAGTTTTTTTTTATAAATTTATTACGGTTAGGGTTGGAATGGTTTATTTTTTGTAACGACGTTAAACGTCGCATTTATGATGATGAATACTGAACATATTTTAGATTTTGCAGTGGAATAATTACTTTTGGTGTGGAAGTTTTTATTTGGAAACAGTTGCATTAAAATTTAAAGAACCTTATAGGTACTTTTTTCTATAAAGAGTTATGAGTAGGTATTTTATATGAATTAGCCGCCATCTTTACCAGTAAATTATGAAGATATTTATCAGAAAATTGGTTACTTTAACGAAGTTTGAACTATGTTAAAGGATAAAGAGCGAATATCCACTGTAGAAAGTGAAGGTGATCTGAGTTATGAAACAAAAACGAGCGAGAGGCTAACTCCGCCTTGGATAAAAGGCAAGAGTCTCATATATACCGGGTGTTGTATCGTTGAGCGGAACATAGAAAATTCCATGCAGTTTTAAATGGGGTCAATTATTGGCTTCCCTAATTATTTAAGTTTATTAAAGACCACTGAAACTCACATTCAAAAGAATAACTTTAAGATATTTTTGATTAGCTCGTTTACGAATTATCGCCGATTTCTTTTTAAATATTTCTCCTTTTTTATGGCCCTGTATTCATGAATACACCTTTAATATTTTCGATGTACGAGTTTTTAATAACAATAAAGCACACATTTTAAAAGGTACGTAAAGTTAGCAAAACGATCTTAGCACAATCAATCAAAACCTTGCGAATTATGTGCAATTTTTGTGCGCTATTCACGATTTTTGTGCATTTATAGTTTTTTTGTAATTAAATATTGTGCTAGCTTAACATTAAGTTAGCACAACTTTTTATTATTTATCAAATACTTTTAATTTCAAAATTTTGTGCTTTTTTGTACAAATTATGTGCGGAATCAAAAATAAATTTTGTCAAATATATTCTTTTTAATTAAATATTGTGCTCGCTTAACGTTAAGTTAGGACAACTATTTATTATTTATCAAGTAATTTTAATTTGAAAAACACCATAATTTTGGGCGTTTTTTGTGCAAATTTTGTGCGGAATCAAAAATAAATTTGGTCAAATATATTCTTTTTAATTAAATATTGGGCTAGCTTAACGTAAAGTTAGCACAACTTTGTATTATTTATCAAGTAATTTTAATTTGAAAAACACCATAATTTTGTGCGTTTTTTGTGCAAATTTTGTGCGGAATCAAAAATAAATTTGGTCAAATATATTTTTTTTAATTAAATATTGGGCTAGCTTAACGTAAAGTTAGCACAACTTTTTATTATTTATCAAGTAATTTTAATTTGAATAACCCATAATTTTGTGATAAAATTTCTCGCCACGCTCTCTTTAATGGTGCAATTAAAGCCACATCTAGGGGTTGAGTTACGTGCGTACTATTAGGTGGCAAACATACGAAATGAATGTCATTTTTTCTACAAGAGTCTAAGACCTCAACATTTATGTGTGAGAATAAATTGTCCCCTATGAGCACCTTTTTGCCTTCAATTTTTTTCAGCCTTGGCTGCATAATAGCGTTAAACCAATCTGCAAAAGTTTGGGATTCGAACCATCCAGATAAAGTATTTCCATAGCGCGCCCCTGGTGGACCATTTTCAGTCCATCTATCTCACAAGTGCTTGGACTTATACACCACATATGGGTGGAGAAGCTCCCCGGCTGCATTCCCTGCTATCATTAGGGAGATGCTGCTTTTTGAGGAATTACATATTTGCTTCGGGTATTTCATACTACGTTTGGTTATAACTTTCTTTTACCCGGGGTCATCGGTAAGGTTCGTCTCATCGTAATGGAATATAGCTTGTGGTTCAACGTTACTTAATGTTTTATTTAAATTTTGAATGGATTCTCTCATTTGGTCTTCATGAAGCGCTGCTCTATTTTTTTATGTTTGATGCTAGCCTCGCTGTAAGGTTCTTATGACGACGTAGAAACGATTTAACCCAATCTTTACCCGGCATATTTTCCCAAAAGCGTGCTACTTTTCCTTCCTTGGGGATTTAAGTAGGCTTTAATTATGTGTCGCAGTTCCATTTCAGTAACAGGAAATCCAAAATCGCTTAGATTATGAATGCAGGATACGAAACACCTTTCTTCTTCATAAGAAAACGTAGGTGGATATCCAGGTTTTTTCGAGTGCACCCCTTTGAGTTTATGGAAAATACTTCGAAGAGGTATTTTGTAAATCTCTGCTGCGATTCTGGAACTCATACCTGATTTTATGTCGTTCAGGCATTCGTTTAAATCTTCTGATGTATAATCGACATATTTCCGTGAGTCTAATTTTCTTTTATACTGCCGAGGCATACCTGAAAACAGAAAATATTAGGTTAAAACATTTATCTAAGTAAAAAAATGTGGGTATACTTTGCACCATATAACTGGTGCAAAGTATCCCCAGTTTTGCCGGAAAAATGCAGATGTAAACAAACTATCTCGTAATCTCATTTTTTAATAAAGAAACTTTATTTAAATGGGTTCATTTATTAAGATTATAGATATATATGCAATTGATTATGTACTTACCAGCATTTATCAATTGGCGACTTGGTATCAATAAGATTTTGCACAGCTCTAAAACGTCAAAATTTTAAGGTTATAATTGGCGGAGAAAATGACAAAAGACTGATGCTATTACACGATGTCATGTCAGTTAGTATGAAGTATTGGAGTATCTTAATATCGGTAGGCAGGGTTGCCGGAGCAACAAAATAAAATAGATTGCGTGGTTGACAGGAACATACTTTTACAGCATTGGTGCAAAGTTACCCGTATAAGTGCACAGTAACCCCACTTTACGGCAGTGATTTCATTTATTGTAAAATTTATATGGTAGAGATTTAGTTTTATTTAATTTACCATCATTCTGTCCAAACACTAATTTTATCAAGAGAATGCTGCAATTTTGTAGCTGTATTTTCATAATCTTTTCATATTGCCAGGATAGCAGTGTGATCTGCAAAAGTGGCTATTTTATTATTTTTTAGTTCCGAAATATCACTAGTGTATAGTAGATACAGTTCAGGTCCGATTACACTTCCTTGTGGTATTCCTCATTTGTTTTTTTTAGTTCCGAGTAAACTTCTTCCTACTTCATTTGAAATTATCTTTCTGTAATATATGATTGCAATAATTGTGTGTACATCCTATGCCTCTCGTGCCACACTTTCTCGAAAGTCGAAAGCTTGCTTTACTTCTGAGAATATAGTATAGCAAACTTTTCTTTCTTCTAACGATTTTTGAATGTTTATTATTAGGTGGATCGAATGTTCTTGTAACTGGCTGTGAATCGGCTACTCTACTTTATAAATTAGTCTATATTTATGAAATACTACTTGAGACAAATAAATATACAGCACCAATTTTTCTAAAAATAGTAACAATCTTTTTTATTAGAAAAATTGTTTTCAGTCCGAGAAAATAGTTTTTTTTACAATGTCGTTTCAACTATATTTGCATTTCACTAAACTCGTATTTATGGATTGGTTGATTTTTCTTACGTCGATATACAGCTTTCGAAGTACATACATCACTATAAAAGATACAAATGTATTTTGTAGAATAAAAAGAGACATCAAAGACAACACAATTCGCATATAGCACAGACAGATGCAAGCAGTAGAGATTTATAGGTATATTTCTTGTTTTGTTCGAGTTTATTTGATATTTAGTGTTTGTCATTTTTAAAGCTTTTTTTGTTTGTTCAACAGTAAGATGAATAAGGACAAATAATAATGTTTGTACTTCACAAAATATAAATTTAAAATTTTATTGAATTTTTAACATTACAGGTTTAGGTATAATATAAAACTTTATTTTTAACAAAAATTAATATTTTGGAATCAATGATTAAATTTGAAAGATCACATTCTGACAAATACAATCAGTAAATCTCAAAGAATCAATAACTGTAATTGACTACCTACCTGCTAGAAAAAATGCATTACAAAAAGAAAAACAAAAAGAAACCTATACGAAATATACATATTACCGATAAAACACAATGCGTGAGAATCAACCAACAGCAACAGCAGCTGATCAGACTAGATACTCAAGGCGACTCAGATCGTTTTGCCTGGAAAAGTGCAGACGACGGTCCGCTAGTACCGCATTCGTTACCCGCATTTAAAAAACAAGTCATCTAGTAGGTCTCGGGCAGTAAATATATCATTTAGGCAATAAAGCATAAATGATAAATCAAAAACAAAAGAATTACTTGCTAACACCGCCCATCCAGTACAGTACAACTTACCGATTTTTTCTGTTATTGTGAATCTTCAAATTCCTTATACCATTTATCATACCACATTTATAAAACATAAAGCTTGCACGATGCTAACAATTATACTATATTTAATATTTCAAAAGATTTCACTAAATTTGTGCTAAGCAGACAAAATAAAAGCAATAAGTTCAGAGTTCAGAGTTTAATCACAAAAACAAAAGCTTTAAATTAAAGTTCAGAGGTACTCCTCCTCCTGAAATATTTAACTAACCCGTACTTAACTTTTTTTTACTAACAAAAGCAAAAGCTTTAAATGGAAGTTCAGATACAATTTCTCAAACAGTTTTTCCTCTCTTTGCCGACAAACGGTACGTGTGATAATTAATGACTTGGTCACTAGATAGCTTTATTTTTAACTTAGTGGTATTTATTGTTGAATAGTTATTTCCAAACTTAAACAAATTTAACAATAAATGTTTAAGTTTCTCTGCGTTTTGTTTTTCTAAGCATTTCTCAGCCGGTTACTGATAGAGATAATATAAATTCCTTTTAATGAAGAAAACATTTTTTTCGCATCGAATTTCTACCAAAATTTAAAATTAAACGACTGCAAATAAACACACTATCTATCCAAAATAGCGTAGTTGACCACAGCTAAATT